TTGTCAGTTTTTCTTAGTCTAGAATAGACTAGATCTTTATTCTTGTTAACTAAAGACCATAGTCACAGAGATAATAATATACACAATATCATTTCACATATTTTGCAAATTGTGAAAATTACAAAATTAACTGTACTTAGCGCCTTCAAACGAGTTTAACCATGGCACATTCTGTATGTGCCTGTCCCAAGTCAGGAGCCTGTAATTCAGTGGTTGTCGTTTGTTGCTGTGTAACATATTTGTTTTTCATTCATTATTTTGTACATAAATTAGGCCGTTAGTTTTCTTGTTTGAATTGTTTTACATTTGTCATTCCGGGGCCTTTTATAGCTGACTATGCGGTATGGGCTTTGCTCATTGTTGAAGGCCGAATGGTGACCTATAGTTGTTATTTTCTGTGGCAATTAGTCTCTTGTGGAGAGTTTCCCATAGGCAATCATACCACATCTTCTTATTTTTATATTTAATTAGGAGGACAGACTTTCACTGATATATATATATATATATACAAGTCTAAATTGAAAACAACGTTCAAACCTATGATTGCGTTGGATAAAAATCGCAATTTTTATACCTGTGCATGCAAAACAAATTTCTTGTTAGAGGGGTCTAAATACAGCACAAACAACATTTTCCAAAAGACCAAAAAAGTGAAAAAGTGTATTTTAACAAAACGCATTATATATATATATATATAAATGCGTTTTGTTAAAATATACTTTTCACTCTTTTGGTCTTTTGGAAAATGTTGTTTGTGCTGTATTTAGACCCCTCTAACAAGAAATTTGTTTTGCATGCACACGTATAAAAATTGCGGTTTTTCTCCAACGCAATCATAGGTTTGAACGTTGTTTTCAATTTAGACTTGTTTATATATATATATATATATATATATATATATATATATATATATATAATTAATTAATCTACACACAGATTTTCTAGTAAAACAATATTGACTGTAGTGAATACATTATTAAATTTAATGATATTAACATTTGTAAAACAACAGTGTGGTAAATACTTATATCGTTCTTTTCTAAAAAAAGAAAAGAAATAAGGACAAAACATTACAAAATTGCGATGACTGCAGTGTCAAAAGGGTTGCTTGATCTCTCTAGCCTTGGAACATTATGCCACCTTCCTGTCTACACTGGCAACTTCATAATTGTTATAATCAATTTATATGTTACAGTGAATTTGCATAATCAGGAATTATGTAGAATCCTGATTTTTCAGGGATTTTGCATAATTACTAAAATCATTAGTGATTATATATAATTCTTGAAAATGACCAGTGATTTTACATAATCACTGAAAATTTTAAGAATTATTTTACAAATTCCCTGAAATGATAATGGGATTATCAATAATACAAAGATCCTTTGTTTGATTGGAATAAATTAAATATAGGCAAATAAATCATTTTTTTGTTTACCCCTTTATGGTTTGAGTGGACAGTTTTCATTCTCTGTCTATTTATCGAATCGTATAAAGTTAACAGTTTATCCGGTGATATTCTATTTAAATGTCTTGACCGCATTAACTCACCAACAGAAACGTATTTAAAATTTTGTGTGTTCTTTGTTCCAAAGAACAAAGAATTCAAACCAAGCAAAGAATTGCAACTAAAGGTACTGTAACACAAACAGAACAAATGTTTGACAGATTGAACACAATTTTGGAGGAGGTCGCTTCCGCATGGTGATTCGTGGAAAAGGAGACCCCAAAAATGTAATGGCCATTGTTCATAAAAGGACTGAAAATGATTACTGCCTGCGAACCATGAAATTTTTCTTAGATAGTATACAAGCCGTCACAAGGAATAAATTAGAGGTGCCTGATTGACCTTTTTAGCACCTTCAGATGTTTCTGATGAACACTTTAGTTTTCTTTAACGAGCAGTAAAATCTGATTCAAACCTTGTATGCGAAGGTTAAGTTTTTGTTTTTTGTTTTTTGTTTTGTTGCCAAAAAAAACAAAAAAAAAACAACCACAAACAGCCGAGCAAATGATCAATAGTAGAGGGTCTGGATGGGGTTTACAAATAAAGAATGATGGACAAAAATTGCAAAATAAAGGACAAAAAGAAAAAAGAAAAATATACAAAAAAGATAAAGAATAGAGAATAATGGAATGTTAAATTATACAGAAAAGAGAATAATGAGAAAAATAAAAAAAGAATAGAAAAAAATGATCGAAAAATTGAAGAATAAAGAAATGAAGGATCCATATCCAGACCCTCATAATAGATGTCATCCAAATTTACAATGTCGTATGTAAAAATAAATGATGTGTATATTGTGCTTAAAATTTTAATATTTTTATTCCTAAAGATGTTTAAATTTGATTTTAAAGAACAAATTATTTAACTCTTATTCATTGTCTTTTCATTCCAGTTATTATGTATAATTCCTGACATTTTTTCTAGTGATTATGCATAATTTCTGAAAATTTTAGTAGTTATATATAATCACTAGAGTGACCAGTGATTATACATAATCCCTAATTATACACATTTGCTGTAACATATATATATATATATATATATATATATATATATATATATATATATATATATATATATCTCAATTTATATAACATTGACGAAATCTTGTTTTCAAATGTATTATCAAAAAGGTTTCACCAAAATTTCATCATCCATAATTTAACGTGTATAAAATCGGTTAAATTCCCAATAAACCATAGTCATTAAATTAGGAGTTGATCTTTTTATCCACAATACATGCTTACAAAACTAAAATGTATCCTTTCCAAAATATCAAGAGTTTCGTACCCCAAGATTTCGGCTCCTTATAAAAGAATAGGTGAAACAGCCTACTGCAATTAAATCTTTAAAAATTGTTTTTATTGGTATATATATATTGATTTTGTTATCAGTAAATTTAAACCATACTAAATATTATTGTTATATACATATGTACTTTCACGGTACTACAATCTGTCGATACCTATATTTTGGCATTGTGCAAGGTCATATTTTTCTCTGACTGTTAATGACGACTTCACACTAACTCTATTGGATGTTTGATGTGTACGGATTGATATCTTAGTCTTAGATACATGATTTTTTTTTATTAGTTGTTATTGGCTTTGAACTAGCTGTCAGTTACTGCGAGTACTCTCAGATCTGATCTTTGTGTATTTTTTGTTGTTAAGGACGAGGGATGGATATATACCCTGCCACGTCCGGTCTGTGTTTTTGTTTGATGTTTTTCTGCTTTATATCGATCTGATGAGTTAAGCCTTCTTCAACTGATTTTTATAGTTTGTTCTTATGTTGTGCTGCTACACTACTGTCCGAGGTTAGGGGAGGGTTGCGCGCTCCCAAACATGTTTAACCCCGCCACATTCTTTATGTGCAGGTCCCAAGTCAGGAGCCTGTAGTTCATTGGTTGTCGTTGGTTCATGTTTGTCGTATTTATTTTTCGTAAATTGTTTTGTTATAAATTAGGCCTCAGTTTTCTCAATTGAATTGTTTCATATTTTCATGTCGGGGCCTTTTATAGCCGACTGTACGGTATGGGTTTCTCATTTTTAAAGGCTGTATGGTTGCCTATGATTGCTTACATCCACTTTATTTGGGCTTTGGTGGATAACTGTCTCATTGGCATTCATACCACATCTCCTTTTTTTATCAAACACATCGAGATAGCAATCTTTAGATAAATGGTTAGATCTACACTTCTTTATAACACAAAACATGACTTTAATAGCTTGATTTCGAAGATAGTTTCTAGTGGCAAAAAAAAGAGAGATATATTTCAGGAGAATTTAACACCAAGATATTCATATTGTTGTATTTTTGTGAAAGAATTTAGTACGGACATCTAACCCTTCAATTTTTAGTCAAATTAAGACACATTTTAACTATGTTAGATATTCTTTAAACACACAGCATCATGGAGTCCTTGGCAGGATTAACGATATAAAAGTTTTTAAAATAAAATTAAAAAAGTAATATTCAACATTTCAAAACAATTTTCAGTTTTGGAAATTTAGTTACTTTGCTAAATGTAAAATTCCCTTAACAATTAAAACGAGTTTTATTAATAATTTTGAAAGAAATATTAAAAAAATTAAATTCTGAGGACAAATGAAATTTAGAGCTTTTGTGCTAGTTGGAGATGAAGTTGAAGTTGAACTATATAAAAGTTCGTGTTAAAGGTAATAGATTCATGTTAGAATTTGAGTATGAGTTGAAAAATGAATGAACAAAAGTTTTAAATTAAACCATCATAGATACCAGGCTTAAAACTGTGTCTACAAAAGACGCCAATGACGCCAGCTCAATTTAAAAAGTTAAAATAGCCAAATAAAGTACGAAGTTGAAGAGCAATAAGAACCCCATATTCCGAAAGGTTAAATTCGAGGTACGAAGTTGCAGATAAATGGTTAAGAATAGAGTTCGATTTTGTCCTACTTTAAAGTTTGAATAACCACTGGAAATCAACAAATACATATTTTCTATTTATATAGTGTAAATACGTTATAGAGAAAGTCCAAATAACTGTCCATTCCTGGGAAATAATGGAGCGGAGGCTCGTAGGGCCAACGCCCATTATTTCCCAGGAATGGAGCTATTTGGACTTTCGCTAACTTAAAATACACCTTAAATATTAAAAACGAATCTTCAGATTATAACATTTTAAAGAATTTTATTTAATTTTGTAATGGTTTTCTTTTCATTTTCCCCGTGTTGTACCCAAGAATCCGCAGGCAAAATTTAAGATCAAGCTGACCATCTACTCACTTAACGAAGTATTTATACAAAGAAGAATAATTACTATAAAAAGATCTTGAATAAAGTTCATTCAGATTTATATTTAAAGTCATTGGATACGCACGTCTTTCTTGTAGTGGGATTGAAAGGATATTTATTTGTGTCTTTAAGTGGTATCTCGGGAGAGTTAAAAAAAACTAGTATTTATTCATATATGTTAATGGATTATGTGTGTTTTTCTTTTGATAAATATTAGATGTAGAATCGTCTATGAAATGTGAAATGGTACAACTAGAATGAAATTCCAGGTATGTAACACTCTAGTATAGGTTTTTCAACTAATAACGGGGTGCTCGATTTCAAGTCATATCGAAAACAAAATGTGATTATATATTTCAAACCATTTTATTCGATGAAATAATATGAAACAAGAAAACAGTATTTCACGCATAACCCAGTATTTCGTCTTTCCCTTTGCTAATTACAACGAACAAAACTTTTATGCATTTTTAAAAAAGCAATACAAGCAAACTGAAGATATTTTTCATTCTTTCCTTTTATCAGAAAGGAAGCAAAAAAGTTTTAGAAACAAAAATCCGCATGATTAAAAACATTTCTGGATTCCGTTTTGTATGTATTTAACTTAAGTGGACAACTACCTTTTAATTTCATTTAAACATTTATTTCAAGATTAACGCCGTTTATTTGAACTGCCGATATAACTGTTATATTAGCCACTGGACATCTAACAACAGTGAATGAATTCGATTATGTTACGCGTTTCTGTTGAAAATTGAATAAAAACGCCGCCTAATATTTAACACAAATGTTATACATACCCCCTCAAATTGTATTCATTAGTACTATATTTAAATTATAACAACGAACACTCAAATAAAATACCGAATACGCCATTTTGACCATTTCAGTTTCTTGGACTATTTATTCTATTAAACCACAATATTATTGTAGAAACTATCCGAGTAATTTTTGTGTTTTTAATTTATATATATATAAAAATGCAATAAACGATTTTTGCTGTACAAAATCAAAATATTTCAAGGAAATGATATCTTAAACGGTAAAATTAAAATCAAATCTTTATGTGAAATATATTTTTTTCTTACTTTCATTATTGAATCATATAAGTGTGTTCAATATTACAATAGCATTCACTGACTCACACACAGTTAACACATTTGATATTTTGTAGATGCACAGAAGAGGAATGGGACTCAACGGAAAATATTCGTTTTTACCCACTTGGATACTATCCGTGACAAAAATTCAGCCAAGATTTGCATCGGAAAACATATTGTGGATTATATTGTTGAATTTTAGTGAATACGATACTATATTTTACACGATGGAATTACGACTCGCAAATAAAAGCTGTTTGTTAATAATGAGATATTTAGTGTTCATTGTATTTCTACGATCCCAATTTAAAAAAATCTAGTATCAGTCGTTTTAGTAAGATTTCATCTTCATTCAATATTGCGTTACGTCCTCTAGAACTATTCCCATGGATGAACACTTTTTAAGAAAGTGCACATGGAAATATCCTAAGGGCAAAACGTCCGGATGAATGAAGACGAACAATAGAAAATAACTCTAGATTCATGAAAAATAACGGAGAGTTTGAACAAAAGATTTACATCACAGGTGTATTTTAATAATTAATTTATGAATATAAAATTTTAGATTAAACAAAGTTAATTATGTCAGTAATATAGTCACATACCGGTATCTGCACAAATTGACGATGACATCTTTACCAACATTATAACTCAAGCGCCAAGGGCGATACAATGCTGTAGTGGTTGCAAGTGAAGAAAATATAGATATAATGTCTTCCAAATGACACCTTTTTAAATCTTTCGATAGTTGTGGAACACAAATATTCATTCAACCTCACTTCTTTTCTCACGCGCTCGAAGTTTTCAAAACCTTGATCTTATTTCGTAAATTTAATTTTGAGGCTGTTCCTGTAAAAATAAATAACTTATGATTATTCAAGCTGCACTGACTGGAATTGTTCCATATTGTATAACTATAAGAATTACATGTTTAAACTGGAAATGAGGTTGCGGTTGATCTTTTCTGCAGATGAACTATTTATATAGCCCGTTATTGTATACGTGCATTTCTAAAATACTGTCTACCCTGCACAAACACGAAAACACTATATATCTGACCTGTCGACAAGTACTCATCATTTTGACGGTCACTGGAAACTAAATGTTTGATGGGAGCAGACATATTGCCTTGCAACAGGCACCCTTCAAACCCCTAAAAGAATTGTTGAAAGACTGTTACAAAGCGGAGGGGCCCGATTGGGGGGGGGGGGGGGGGGGGGGGGGTCTCATCACGATTCACGACTTGATTTTTTTGTCAATCACGATTCACAGAAAATAAATTTCCATGATCACGGATCACGAAAATATGAAAAAAATCTGTAGAAAAACGGATCACGATAGCGAAAATGCGCCGATCACGAAGAACGAAAATAACCCATCAGGCCCCTTAAAGCGGAGTGAGCGCGACACTATGCATATATACGAGGCATCAGATTTAAAGGCATATGCGATACAGTTACAGGGGAGGTAATTACGTTGATAATGTAAAATGTTATTTTTCGAGACGTCAAACTGAGACTTATCGGGAAAAGACCCTATTTCGACTGATTTTAATCATTAGCTAGAAAACGAGTACATGGGCCCCTCTTTTTTAAAGTGGCCTTTATCTTTAATATGAGTGAAGATTTTTTGTATTAATTTTCATAAACGATAAATAAACAGTAAACAAAAAATGAAGGTTTTTTTAAAATCATGAAAATTTAATGAAATGAATTATTTCCAAATTTACATAAATTTAAAGCATACTTATGTAAAAAAGATCTTACAAATGGTTTTAAAAAAATTCCGCTTGTGTTTATCTTTTGAAACAAAAATGTTTGGTATGTCCCTCTGAAGGATAGAAATTACATTATGTATTGTTCTCTGCTATCTGTCGTTTTGTCATACTGTATATACTTGTCTATTTATTGCCATAGCATGTTATTTATGCTTTTGCAAATAAAATATTCATTCATTCATTCTTTCAAACCTCGATTTTGGGTAAATGTCTAAATTTTCGACCCATTCATCTCTAAAAGTAGCGCATGAAGGTATATTTTTAATAACATACATTTGTATTTTAATTAACGACTTCAAGATTAGCTTGAATACAAATTTTCGTTAAAAAATCACCGTGAGATCAAAATTGTAACTTTTGTTCAGTTTTTCAGTTTCTACACATACAGAGAAGTGCCGGCGGCCTCGGTGAATGACAGTTTTTTTTTCAAGTCAATAAAACCACGAATTTGCTGATTCAATAGACAGTAATTATTGTATAAAATGAAAATAAACTAGTCATTGACTACCTTTAAAATATTGTATTGTAGTGTGTCCCGAGGTCACAAACTGGGTACATTCTATTAAGATTGCCAAAATTGCGTGTCAAACTTGAACGTCTTTTTTTCAAGTCAATAAAACCACGAATTTGCTGATTCAATAGACAGTAATTATTGTATAAGATGAAAATAAACTAGTCATTGACTACCTTTAAAATATTGTATTGTAGTGTGTCCCGAGGTCACACACTGGGTACATTCTATTAAGATTGCCAAAATTGCGTGTCAAACTTGAACGTCTTAAATAAACTCTCAAAGCTATTAAAATTTATTTTTTTTACACTAGTAATTTTTTGGGGCCCTTTATAGCTTGCTGTTCGGTGTGAGCCAATGCTCCGTGTTGAAGGCCGTACCGTGACCTATAATGGTTTACTTTTATAAATTGTAACTTGGATGGAAAGTTGTCTCATTGGCACTCATACCACATCTTCCTATATCTACTTGTGGCATGGTGTAGGCCACAACAATCCACTTGGAGATGGAAGTAGAAACCAGTTTGGTTTGGATTTTAAAGCAGTGGGATTGGTATGTTGAAATCATAACTTTTATACAACACGTATAAAATAAATGATTGTTGTTTGTTTTTTTGACGTATCGTGTTGATCTTTATGACCGTATATACTATATTAAAACATTATGTGCGTTTTGTTAAGCCTGACCGTGATAAAGAGCATGAATTTTAGACTGTATTTGGAAAAGAGGTATTTTGGATACGGATAGAAATTTTGTCTTGCAACAGGTCATATACCTCCGATGGTAGAATTATTGCAAGGGTTCTTGAACGTGCAGACTGCGATTCATTCTCCCGGCACGAGACATTTTATTTCCCAGTTTGCACTAGGTGTACCAAAACAAAACCCTGTAATAATCGTCTGAATGTTCCTGGTTATTGATAATTTCTGCTGTTTTTTTACAGTAGGTTTAGTATGGTAAAAATTTGAAAGAACGGAACATTGAAGCTTTTACATTTAAAGCACTATTCAACCTTTTTGGTCTAACATGTAAAACACATTTTATGGAGTAGTTTTAGTTTATCGCTTAGCCAAAATATCTTACGTTGAATATAAAATAACTGATTCCCTTTTTCATTTTTATTTATCAATGGTCATAATTGATTATACAATGAACATTGAAGCATTCATATTTAAAGCACTATTCAACCTTTTTGGTCAAACATGTAAAACACATTTTATGGAGTAGTTTTAGTTTATCGCTTAGCCAAAATATCTTACGTTGAATATCAAATAACTGATTCTCTTTTTCATTTTTATTTATCAATGGTCATAATCGATTATACAATGACACCAGGCATACAAATATAACTTTTTCCTTCTGTTTTTACCACTTGGGTTGACTGGAATAATCAAAGTAGACATATATTTAGACGGCCTCAGACCACAATTATTCTTCCCCTTTGCTACAATGCATTTTTTGGTAAAAGTCAAATTGAATTAAAAAATTTGCACCGCTTCAAACCTGAAATAAATTTAACTGCTTATAGACCATTATTATTCTAATAAAATATGCTTGTCCCAGGACAATCCATCAGTGCTTTTTCTTTTGAGAGCCCTATTAACATGCCAATGGTAGGATTTGAATCTTGAATAAATGACTAAGGCTAATTTCTACCCTACTTTCATTTTGGCCAAATCACTACTTTCACTTTCAACAATAAATATTTTCCACATGTTTTACTTATTTCAATATATATGCAACTGATAGGATCACTTAAATAGTAAACATTTCAAAGAAAACAGAAGACAGAATACTTAGGAAGAAATACCCCATATAATAATTGGGAACTATATTCCTAGACCACGAACAAAGGGAATTAATTGTGGTCTGAAGCCTATTAGACCTCAAAAATTTAAAGTATTCTTATGAAACTTTACAGTTACTTATCATGATATCTTAGTAGTATAAATGCCACATTTTATTACATTCTGACAAATATTAAAAAAATTTGGAATGTTTTTATATTAGTATATCTGTCTGCGGAACATGCTATTTGCAAAGTTTTAAGAATTCAGTCAAAATTTTATTCAGAAAATATTTGTTTGGAAATTTTTTACCAAAATATGCCTTGATCCAGTAAAAATAACTTGTATTTAAGTGAAAAGAAACAACTGCTAAAGCAAACTGCCTCTTATATGCCAGTTTTTTTCATACTTATATCTCTATGGTTATTAAATCAGAATTGGTCAGTATGATAAGGGTACCGACATAAAAAGCATAATTGTTGGTGAATTAAAACTAAAAAAATGATTTATTTCCTTCTTTCTATCCCACCTATTGGTTATTTACTTCTAAACAACTAAAAATAATTTAGACATGACACTTTTGAATTTTTAAGACATATTGCTTTTCATATTTTTAAATGTGTTTGTATGTCATGTTATATGTCCCAGGATTAACTCATTTTTGTAAAACCTTATTGAGTTTGCATGTATAATGCACTTTTTGGTAAAAGTCAAATTGAATTAAAAAATTTGCACCGCTTCAAACCTGAAATAAATTTAACTGCTTATAGACCATTATTATTCTAATAAAATATGATTGTCCCAGGATAATCCATCAGTGCTTTTTCTTTTGAGAGCCCTATTAACATGCCAATGGTAGGATTTGAATCTTGAATAAATGACTAAGGCTAATTTCTACCCTACTTTCATTTTGGCCAAATCACTACTTTCACTTTCAACAATAAATTTTTTCCACATGTTTTACTTATTTCAATATATATGCAACTGATAGGTTCACTTAAATAGTAAACATTTCAAAGAAAACAGTAGACAGAATACTTAGGAAGAAATACCCCATATAATAATTGGGAACTATATTCCTAGACCACGAACAAAGGGAATTAATTGTGGTCTGAAGCCAGATGCATGCTGAAGAGGTGCATCCGTTCCGCTGTGGAGGATACGACAACACGTGCGTTTAACCGGACCGTTAATCATTG